TAAAGAGTTGCCTGTTGTTGTTGTTAAGTGCCATCGAGTCGGTTCCGACCCATAGCGACCCTGTGCAGGGTTTTCGAGGGTGTAAATCTTTACGGGAGTAGAAAGCCTCATCTTTCTCCCGCGGAGTGGCTGGTAGTTTCGAACCGCTGACCTTACGGTTCGCAGCCCGATTCGTAACCACTACGCTACCAGAGCTCCTTAAAGAGTTGCCTAAGATGCTGTAAAATTAAGATCAGGTGAGACAAATGTAAAAGACTGGGAAGCATAATAAAAATTCAGAAAGACTCTACAGCCAGATTGCTTCCCAAGTGTCAAAATTTTTATTCCATTTAAAATAAAATAAAGATGGAATTTTTAGATGTTATGTTACAGGTGAGGGTTTTGGAAGTAAAATGACAAACTTTAATCAGAAAAAGATCTTGGCCCTATTTCAAAAGATTGTTGTTGTTAAATGCCGAGTCAGTTCCTACTCATGGTGGTGGTATGCCATGGAGACAGTTCTGACTTATAGCGACCCTGTATAAGTTTTCCGAGGCTGTAAATCTTTACAGGAACAGACAGTCTCGTCTTTCTCCCACAGAATGGCTGGTAATTTCAAAATGCTGACCTTGAGATTAGCAGCTCAACTCGTAACCACTACACCAGCAGAGTTCCTGAGTTCTATTCATAGTGACCTTGTATAATGTTTCTGAGGAGTGGCTGGTGGCTTTGAACCACAACCTCGTGGTTAGCAGTCCAGTGCTTCTACTACAGCACCATACCAAGATCCCTTAAAAAAAGTAGACAAATACACATACAGCTTTAAAATCAAGTATATGTTTTTATGGTTGCTTCCCTTCTTCAACCAAGTTTTCTAACAATGAATTTGTTGTCTTAACTGCATCAGATAAGAGAACGTCTGTCCTTCGTTGATACCTTTTTACCCGTTTTTCCTATGCCTGAATTGGTATTGCCACAGAGCTGCTTGTCTTCTATTCAGGAGACCTGGTTCAATTCCCAGCCAAGCACTCCCTACACAGTAAGCAGTGGAGACTGCCAGTGGAGACTTGTGTACTGTTGAGATGCTTAGCACATTTCAGTGGCATCTCTAGACTAAGACAGAGGAAAAAGAAAGATCTGGCGATCGACTTCCAAATATTAGCTAATGAAAATCCTGTGGGTCACAATAATCTGATCTCATGATACATAGGGTCACCATGAGTTGGGACTCTATGACTCAATGGCAACTAGCAAATGCAACAACATACATAGTTTCAGAGTTGTTCCTCAAAACAATAATAAAACAACAGTAACTTAGAGTGATCAAATATGTTTGGGAAAAGCTTAAAACTATACCCTTTATTACAAATTCATTATGTTCCCTACTACACTAAAAGTAAAGAGATACACTAAACTTTGTATAATGCAGACGTTTCCAAACTTATTTTGCCATGGAGCCCTTGTAGGGGGGCAACACCTATTAACATTCTGTAAAGGAGCTCTGGTAGCATAGTGGTTATGAATCAGACTGTGAACCACAAGGTCAGCAGTTTGAAACTACCAGCTGTTCTGTGGGAGAAAGATGAGGCGTTCTCCTCCCGTAAAGATTTACAGCCTCAGAAACCCTGTACAGGGTTGCTATGAGTTGGAACCGACTCCACGGCACATAACAACAACAACAAAGGAACATACTTTGGGAATTAGTGCTGTAGGGTAGACAGAATAGGTATAAGGTATGTTCTCCATCCTTGAGAAGTTTGCAATGAGTCAGAGAGTTTTCACACATACACACATATAAGACAGGGAATTAACAGCATAATTCAAAGGTCAAAATCAGTAGGTAAACTCAGTAGATGTTAAAGATCAGAAAAGCTGTTCTCGTCCATCTTCCTCTAATTTTCACAGATTCTGGTCTTAAATCTCAAAAACTTGCTCTTGATTTATTGTTCTAGAAGGTTCAAAGGGAACTCTCATTTCTTAAGTTCTGACTATGTGCCATGTTTGACGATATATGTTATGTCATGGAGTTTTCATGATCATGGGAAATAGGTATTATCTTCTTTTTGCAGAGAAATGGGATCAGAGTGAAAACACAGTTAGTAGGAGAGCCTCAAGTGTCTATCTAATTTCAAAGGCCCATTTCTTTGCACCATTCTCTGTTACCTTTATAACCTCTTTCTTGAACTTGGGTTTGGGTAGATAACCAGGTTGATCTGATGGAAGTCCCTGACTCTGTGGCTCATGTTTGGTTTATAGAGGACAGCTATACCTGCCTGGGCTTCTCCCCATTCTTTTCTTCCCTCTTAGTCTAGAAGTTCTGAGTCCTGACTTTATAGGTTCAGTGGACACTCCCTTCTCATCTCTGATGGCCACTGTGATGAGATCATTAATTGGGGAAGGTGTCTGCAAGGCAGGGGTAAGTGCTTAGTTAATAGCATCTGTACCTGAGAGCTCTCCTGAGCTAGCAGGCACAGCAGTGGGTAGGTGGGAGGGTGTAGGTAGAAAGCACTCATTGATGCTTTTCAGCAATGTTCTCTGCACTGTCCCAGGCATTTTTAAAAGAAGCATTCTGGGTCCTTCCTGTCCTTCTGCTCTGTGCTCAGCCAGTGCCTCCTCTTCTCCTCTGCCTCTACATTCATTGCCTTCCTAAGCAATGAGGTGGAGGTGACAGTTGAGTGAAAAGAAAACCTTTGAGTCTTAGGGAAAGTCCACAAGGAAAAAGGGGTATTAGGTGCCTGATGAAAGGGGAGGCACAGTCAGGAAGGACTGAGCTGGGTGACCCTCTAGTCTCAGTGGTGAGTGTCTAGTGGGAAATGGCAAGTAGCTAAGGATGAGGTGATGGGGTCAGTGAGAGGATGCTGGCTTGCGCTCCTGGGCAGGGTTGCCTTATAGTCTCATCTTTTACTGTTTCTCCTCTTCAGAAATGAGGTTGTTGGAGTACTCATATCAGTTTTCAAAAAATTCACAGAGGTAGGAGGTGGTGGAGGAGAGGAAACTAATGTTTATTAAGCACTATGTGCCAGGGTCTGCAAATATTTCATTTATTCTTTATAATCTCCACACAAGATGAGTGTGGTCAGTTTCCAGCGTAAAAGGGAAAGCTTAGGTTTGAACCCAGGTTTGGCTGACTGAAAAACTTGTGAGATTTCGACCACACCCATGATCCCATATACATCACTGCCTCACGATGTGTGGAACCAGATCTAGATCCACAGTGGGAAAGGGGAGGTGAGAGCCATACTGCTCTATCTTGGGCATGGTAGGTGTGTGCACAGAAGATGGATCTGTCCCTATAAAGCCCCTCCTCTTGTGGATCTCATTCACATAGTGCCAGTAGCCGCAGGGTGGACACTGGGCTCATGGGGCCAAGGCCATGGGACCTTGCTGACCATCTGACAATTTGGAAAACCAGATAGACAGTAGGTCTGAACATCCCTACCATGTGCTACATCAGGACTTTGCCCAAGAGATCTGAGGCCGGGCCTACCCACCTCATTCCCTGGCTTCATCATCAAGGTTCCAGGGTCTTTCCAGATTCCTTTGCTCTTTTGAACCCTCAGTCTTCAGCTAATTTGCTCCAAAATTGTCTCCTGTTTTTTCCCCCATTTTCAAAATGAGCTCACTCAGCAAAGTGTTGGGGGCAGTTTCCAGTTCCTAGAGCTGGGAGGGTGGATGAGTGGGAGGAAATGCAGAATCCTTAAAACTGCCCTTAGTCAGCTGCCACCACTAAAGTCTGACAGCCATAGCCCAGTCTTAATGACTTCTAGAGGTGCTCCCATTTCAAATTAAGCACTGTCGATTGACTGATTAATTCATCCTCATACTCCATTCAACTTCTTTTCTTCTCTCTGAAAAAAGACTTCCTCTTACTCCTGGTTCTTTTCCAGAGTTCTTAGGCCAATGTCTATAAATCAAAGAAAACTAAATACGTTGTTGAGTTGATGCTGATGCAGGCCCATGTGTTACAGAATAGAACTGTGCTCCATAGGGGTCTTCAATGACCATAACCTTTTGGAAGTAGATTGCCGGACCTTTCTTCTGAAGCATCTCTGGGTGGGTTCAAACTGCCAACTTTTTAGTTAGTAGCCAGGTGCTTAACATTAGCCATTTGTGCCACACAGGGATTCCTAAACATGTCTATTACAGTCCTTTGGTATTTGTTTTGTATCTGTGTGTCCACTGAGAATAGTGGTGGGCGAGTCCAAGATCTTGCAAGCCTACCTGTGATCACAGAATCCACCTCCCAATCATAGCACACATACACACACATACACACACCACCCTAGACATACATCTCTTGAAACTCGTATTAGAGAATTACAGTTTTGAAGTCATTACTGACATCCAAGCAAAGGCCTATCTGTTGCAACTAACCCTGCACACAAACTCATAACTGCCATCATGTGCTAGGCACACAATAGGCACTTTATAAACTACATTTGAATATGAGGTCTTGTTGCATGTACAAATGTGGAAAATTCTACTGTTCTGTGTCACAGAGCTGACAAGTGAAGGAGCCAGGATCTCAGTGAGTTCTGTTCTAGCCAGTGCTCCCCTACACTGCACCTTGCTTGACTGCTCTCCAGAGGAAGGTGAACTCTGGAAAACCAGCAAACGTCCTAGCATAGAACTACCATGTTCTTCCACAGGAGGAAGGGAGGAGAGAGTATCTGCCTTCAGGAGGACAGGTCTGTACCAGTAACACTAGCACACCGCCCCCCCCCCCCTCCCAGGAAACAATATGGTACTCTTTTCAAAATGCTTTTGTACCATTACCTTATGTGATGTAGCAGCAGCAGCAACAACAACAAAGCATGTGCAACAGAAGGCATACCAGCTTTAGTCCTCCTTTAGCCTCCCCTCTAACTTGGCCTCTAGAAGATGATATCCCTACCTCTGGTATTCCTATCTCTGAGGTCACCCTCTCTAGGTTTGCAGATGACCACAGAGTCTTGCACCCAAGGGGTTATTCATGCCCCATACTGCAACTCCCTACCCCCAACACACACACACTCACTCACCATGAGATGTTGGAAGAGCCAAGAACGCATTATATTGGTGGCATGCTTGGGTAAGACTCCTCGTTTGTTCTTGGACTTCTTATCCTCATTGTCCAGGAGGGAGGTGAGGTCAAGGTTAACCTTCAGGGCACGTGGAGAAAAAAGCAGCATCAGCAGCCTGGCAGGCCAGCATCAAGGGACCTGTTGCCATAGTGATGGCAGACTTTCACTGCCAACCTCCGTTCCCAACTCATTCTAAGGGCAATGGGGAGGACATCTTTCTCATCCCACACCAGTCTCTCAGAAACAGAGAAAGGGAAAAGGAGTAAGATGGGGGGGAAGTAGGGAAGGGGAAAAATGTGTAAGAGAGGAAATGGCGGAAACAGTCATGCAGAGGGTATAGAAGAAGTGAATTTACCATAAACCATCTAAAAGCATCTCTGTGATACTTTACAGTTTTCAAAGCACCTTCCTATCCAGTCTGCAGATTGGTTGGGCTGCATGCCATTGGTATTCATTCCCCTTTTATCAGTAATAATGCAGGCTCAGAGAGGTCAAGATCACAGAACTGATTCCAGGTCTCAAGTCTTGGACTTCAGACCTATTTACTATACCACATCTCCCTCTTGTGTATGTACTCAACAGGAGTGCACATTGAGATGCATGGTAGCTAGGTCTGGAGACCAGCAATAGAAGTGCCCAGGATCCTTTGATGTAGCCCTAGGAAGCAGCACAATTCCCAGAGTTGATAAAAGCTTTTCTAGACCCAGTTCCTTATCTGTAAAGTGGGGATAATGATACCTCTTAGAAGCATGATGCAGATTCAGTGAGTTACTGTATGTAAAGTGCCTAACAGATAGTAAAGAAACATGACTCTTCTCCCACATGCTCATGCACATGTTCCATACACCTGTACACTCACCTGTGTATTCTGGATCTGGATGGCTCCCTGGGGGATTGCTTGGGTGACCACCTGACCCTGGGAGGTTACCATGGTAACCGGCTGGTATAAGGCTCCACCTGAGGAGACAACCAGTTTTTGGGTCCCCTACCATTGGGGTGGGTAGGACTGAGGGCAAGCAGGGATCCCAGTTCATTTGAACTCACATGGAAAGACCCTCTACTCTAGAGTCTTGGGGGGAAGTGTGTTTCTCCCACTTGTAAACCGTAGGTATTCAGCCTCTGGTGGGATGAGTGGGAAGAAAGTGAAGGTGGGGTTGTCCAGAGCTGAGAGCAATTCACTGGTGGGATGGGGGAGGCTCTCTAGACAATCAAGGAATAGACAATAGGCTTCCTTGATCTTTGGGGGCTCATGAGAATTTGACCCAGATTTTTCATACACTCTACCTTAGTGCCAGCTATCTGTAAATTTATAGAACACTTTGGTCCAGAAACTAAGCTTTGAGTCCCTTCTTTGGCAGAGGGCATCCCTCCAGTTTCCCATGATGCTTTGTGAAGTGCCCTGTTCCCTCAACCCCCTCAGGGCCACCCTTTTCTCCTCCCAAGTTGTTGCCCACAGTCCCCAGCACCTTGTTCCCTGCACCGACCTGACACAACTTGTGAGTTGACAGTTGTCATGGCGATGTTGCCTTGCTGGAGCGCTGAGGCTGGGACCACAATCCCCTGGGGGTTATTGGAGACTCCAGACAGGGAATTGGGAGAATTCTGCAGGAGGTCCTGGCAGAAGGGAGGTGTGATTCGATGACAATGTCACTGAGGGCATTCTACAGCCTCAATTCTTCCTCCATGTTCCCCTTCCTGCCTTCCCTCTGCCCACCTTCCTGTTCCCACCTTGGACCCAAACCCAGAAGGCAATTCTCATGGTTTCCCTAGAAAGAGTGAATACGAAGGCTTAACACACAAAATAATCAACAATAGTTACTTTTATAACCATTTTTCTTCCCTGCAAACTTCAGTCCTAAATTACCTCATAAACCAGTGGTTCCCTCATTTTAGCTACACTCTGGGATCTCTAGGATTGATGTCTGGGTTCTAACTCCAGAGACTCCAATTTAATTGGTTAGGGGTGTGGCCTGAGCTTGGGATTTAAAAAAGCTCCCCCCAAAATAGTTATTGAATCAATTCTGACTCAAGATAACCTCAGGTAAATCAGAGCAGAACTGTGTTGCATAGGGTTTTTGTTTTTGTTTTAGGATGAGGTCAAGGCTTAAAATTAGGTTTTAGGGTAGAATTAGGCATAGAACTAGAGCTAGGGTTAGGGGTAAGGTTAGGTTTACAGTTAAGATTAGTGTTAGGTCTAGTGCCAGGTTATGGTTAATGTTAGGGTTATAACTAGACTTAAGAGTTAGTTTTAGAACAAGGATTAAAATTAGGGTTTAGGTTGGTGTTAGGCTAGCGATAGAGATTAGAGTTAAGACTAAATGTCAGGCTAGTGATAGAAATGGGGTAGGACTAGGGTTAGGGATAAAGTTAGGCTAATTCTAGGGTAAAGTTTAGGTTTAGGAATAAAATTAGGACCAGGGTTAGTGTTAGCATTAGTGTGAGGGCTAGGGCCCAGGTTAAGGTTGTTGTTGTTAAGTTCTGTTGAGTCGGTTCAGACTCAGACGATTCTGTATAGGGTTTCTGAGAAATGGCTGGTGAGTTTGAACCACCGACCTTGTGGTTTAAACCTATCTTGAGGTTGATTCTTATCCTACAGCACCATACCAGGATTCCATTAGGGTTAGGATTTTGTTGTTGTTGTTAAGTGTTAAGTGTTCCAACTCATAGTGACCCTGTATAGGGTTTCTGAGGAGTGAATGGTTGAGTCTGAACAGCCGGCCTTGTGATTCAAACTGACCTTGCAGTCTAGTGCATTATCCTGCAGCACCAGGGTGTTAGCATTATGTCTAGAGTTAGGATATGGTTTAGGTTTAGGGGTAGAACTAGGTATAGAGCTAGGGCTAGTGTTAAGGTTCCAGTTAGGGTTAGGGTTATAGTTAGGGTTAAGTTAGGTTTAGGACTATGATGAGGGCTAGGGCTAGACCTAGATCTAGGATTAGAATTAGAGTTGGGGTTATGATTAAAGTTTGCTTTAGGGCTAGGTTAGGTTTTGTGTTAGTGTTAAAATTGTTGTTGTTAAGTGCCATCGAGTCGATTCCGACTCACAGCGATTCTGTATAGGGTTTCTGAGGAGCGGCTGGTGCGTCTGAATCTCTGACCTTATGGTTCAAACTGACCTTGTGGTCCAGTGCATTATCCCACAGTGCCAAATTTTTACTATGATTTGGGTGAAAGCTTACAGAGCAAACTGATTTTCAATTAAATAATTAATATGCATTTTGATTTGTGACATTGATTGCAATCCTCACAATGTCACAGCACTCTTCCCACTGCCTCTCTGTGTTTACCATTTCTATTGGTTCCTCTTTCCTATCCCTCCCTACCTTCTGAGTTTTGTTGTTGTTAAGTATTATCAAGTTGGTTTCAACTCATAGTGACCCTGTATAGGGTTTCCAAGGAGCGTCTGGTGGGTTTGAACTACAGACCTTGCAGTTAGCAGTTCAGTGCTTACCCTACATTATCCCTGGGTAAGTGCTGCCTTTTGATTTCAGATGGTTGATGTTTCTAAAGAGTGCATACCTCCCTGGTGTTATTGTTCACTTTATAGGTCTGGCTATTGCTATTGAGTTCAGTTCCAGGTTTGCAAGGAGTCTAAGCGCCATAGTCTCAATAGTGCCACCAGTCTCTATCTGACCACTAAGCCTGGTCTTTTTTTATGATTTTAAGTTTTATTCCACATTTTCCTCCCACTCTCTCCAGGACCTCCTATTGTGATCCCTTTCAGAGAAGTTAACAATGATAGCTAGGCTCCATGTAGTTCTTAAGGTCTCATGGAAGTTGGGGTTCACATGGGCCATCAGACCTTTGAACTAGTTTTGGACTGTTTCTATGTGCTTTTGCTTATCTTCTCTCTTCTTTGCTCCAGATAGGGAGAGACCAGTAGCTGCACCTTAGATGGCCATTCACAGACTTCTTATAAGACCCAGTCACTACTCACCAAAATAGGATGCAGAACATTTTCTTTGTAAACTATGTCATGCTAGTTGACCTTGGTGTTACTCAAGTCTATGGTCTTGAGTCTCCAGGCCCAGCTATTCTTTCATCTAAGATGTTTGGTTATAACCAAGAATTTTCATAACTTTGCCCCCTGTATGCTTTTCTATATTCATGGATATATTTGCAGCACAAATAAACACACACACACACACACACACACATATATGCATCCATTGTCAAACTTACATATATTTGTGGGTAGAGTTCCATTCACTTTCCCATACTTGTTCAGCTTATGTGTCTACTTATGTATCCACTCATAGATTATTATTACTGTTATTGCAGGATTGTGCATATAACAGTACATACCTTTGTTGCCTTTAATTTTTATGATTCTCCCAGTGTCTTCCTTTGCCTTGATCATTATGTGCTGACCTCCACCCTATTGTATATTACCTAGCCAAGTTAATACATATCTACCCTCTAGTCAGTGATTTACCCTACTACCGCTTGTAATTTTCAAAGAATGTTTCTTTCTGTGTGTAAACATTTTCTTCACTTTTTAGAACAGTGGTATCAGTCAATTGTTGCCCTTTTGTGATTGATGAATTTTACTCGGCATAGTCTCTCCCAGGTTCACTCATGTTATGAAGTATTTCACAGATTCATTGCTATTCTTCAATGTTGCATAGTATTCCATCATGCATATGTACCATAGTTTGTTTATCCATTCATCTGGTGATGGGCACTTAAGTTGTTTCTCTTTTTGCTAATGTGAATGCTGTGATAAACATTGGTGTCATGGCTCTTATTTCTCTAGGCTATATACCTAATAGTGAGATTGCTGGAGGATATTGTTTTCCACAGTGGTTGCACCATTCTATAGTCCAACTAACAGTGTCTGAGAGTTCTAGTCTCTTTACACCCTTTCCAGCATTTGTTGTTTCCTATTGTTTTGAACATTATTATTAATGCTGGGGCGAGATGATGCTTCACTGCTGTTTTGATTTGCATCCCTATAATGGCTAGTGATCAGGGGCATTTCTTCATGTATTTATTAGTTGGTTGTGTGACTGTCTTCTTTGGTGAAATGTCTGTTCATGTTCTTTGCCCCTATTTTTTTTAAGTTGTAATTCAATTTATTTGGATCAGAACATTTAAAAATTGGGCATATATGTACAAATGCATACCTGAAATCAAACTAGTAAAACACAGGAATGTTTTGATTGCCCAAAATCCTTTCTCCTTCCTTCTCTCATCAAACTGCTATCAGTACAGGCCCAGGCAGCTATTATATACTTAGAGCCAGCTTTTAGAGTTATATATATATTGATATGATGCTGGTGCTGTCATTCATAGTAAGAAAATGACAATATCTACAAATGTACTGATTTAGCAAAGTACTTTGCTAAAGAGTAATTGCCATTGTATATCATTTGTTCTCTTCATCTGTGTAGCTTATAGTACACAAAAATATGAAAAATACTACAACATAACAGATGTTACCACATAACAGATCTCCTTATGCATAATTTGGCCGAAGGCAGAGCCTGAATGGTGAAGAGGTGATTTTTCATTAGTGGGATAACAAATCTAAATTCTGAAAACAAGGTTAGCCACACCAAGACTCTCCTGGGCCATGGATGGAAAGGCCAGTCCAAGTATTCCTTGAGGATGTAATCTGTTGGTGAAACAAATATGGAAACTCAGGTTGAGCCATTTGGTCACTGTAGCAACAAGGAAGGAATTTAGTCATATATAGTTTGGTTATGTCAACATTTAATGTTGATCATTATGTTTAATGTTGATCATTATATTTAATGTTGCTGATGATCATTATATTTAATGTTGCTGATCAGAAGTCAGAAGAATGACAAACATTACTTCTTATTAAAAGTTTCAGGTCTTGTAATCTCTTTGAAAATAATATAGTTCAAATATCAGTTTCATTTCTTTCCCTAAATAACAAATAAGTGATCCTCATAGTTTAAATGGATTTTTTTGTGGTTTTGTTGTTGAGGTGTTGAAGTTTTCTATATATTTTAAAGATTATACCCTTGTCCAATATGACATTGTGGAAAATATTTTCCTAGTTTATGGGTTCTCTTTTTCCTCGTTTGGTGAAGTCTTTCGATGTGCATAAGATGTTTGCTTTCTACCACTCCATAGCATTTTCAATGGCCAATTTTTCAAAAGCAGGTCACCAGATCTTTCTTCTGAGGTGCCTCTGGGTGAACCTCCAACTTTTGGGTTAGCAGCAGAGTGCATTAACTGCTTGTACCATCCAGGGATCCCAAAAGGTGACTCGAATGTGCAGCCAGCATTAAGAACCATGCTTTATCTTATTAAGATATACTTTCTTCAGACTTGATTGTCTCAGACCTTTGCCCTGTTCACTCCAACCCCCTCTTCTTCACACATCTGCCTCATGGCATTTATTATAATAAGCTCCATGCACAAAGTGGACTCTGACTTTTTATCAGAGCCTGGCATATAGTGGATACTAAAATATTTATTAAATAGAAAAAATATTCACCTAGCCTCAGCATCACCTGGTTCCTAAGGGTATTTCCTAAGAGCCTCAACCTCAACTGTCCTTTGATACATTTCATTGATGCCTACCTCCCTTTATCCCAGGCTCCCAGTACTTCCCTGAAAGTGGTCTTCTTTTGCTCCAC